TAATATATATATGTGTGTGTGTGTGTGTGTGTGTGTGTATGTATTTATGTATGTATATTTTGCATTTATATTTATATTTATATATATATGTGTGTGTGTGTGTGTGTGTGTGTGTGCGTGTGTGTGTTTGTGAATTTGAATGTGTAGGTATATATTAGTAATATGTATGTGTGTATACGTTTGATTGCATACATCTGTATTGGTATTCTTCCTCGTATACCTTATCAAAATTTTGAATATCTCCGGAACCTCATCCGGTACAAATTCGTCTTGTAGGCGCATCTAGTGCCCAGCGCTGGTAGTCGCGCAATTCAACTGAAAGAAATTCGTGGGGCTTTTCGAAAGCATAAAGATGAAACCGACACCAAGATGATTGCTAGTCTCGAACACGTAAGTTATGTGCTTTCATCTCTCCTTCCTGTATTTTAAATTTGATTTTGCAGTAGAGTTCAACCGTGTTTCTCTAAGGAGAGCGGTACAATGCATGAATGCTATTCTCATTAAGTTTGCTACATGTTATTTTGTATGCTCGGTGGCCAATTCCAATAGAATGTACCAACCACTCGTTAATCACATCCTTGGCAAATCAGAGCCTTAGAGTGCAACGTTATATTATTGCGTATTTAATTGTAGGTATGGGCGATAAATATACTGCCTCTTCTCGCCTATTTTCAGTTGGCACCTGTAGTAGATATGATCGAATTCTCTCACGGAGCTCATCTATTTTCCGAATACGTGCCACTGCACACAAAAGACACTGTGCACCATGCCAATTCTACTTCTTGCTCATTCTAATAGACGGGTGCATTGTTTTGACCTTGTCGGACTTTGTATCATTCCGTTTCAATCACAATGAATTCAGTAGCGTACCTATAGTAATAGATATATTGAGTATCGTCGCGAGTCCAAATCAGTAGAAATTCACCTCGAGACAATGCTTCTACAGGAGGCACTATCTCGGATGGCGTACTTGAAGATGATCACTCCACGCAAGGCATCCTCTACGCGTCAGTCGGCCTCACCCCTACAATCAGATCAAGCGAATCAAAAGCGAGATAGAAATCTGTCCGGTAGGGTTACATATGTCGTACGAAAGGGATTGGTCGTTGAGGGTCAGGGAGAAGGGGAAGACAAGGCAAAATACACTACTTGGGGAGCTGGTAATCCCGATCCAACTGCGGTGAAGAAACACTGGGACCTTTTCGAGAGGCAAAAGAAGATAGGCCTGTGAAATACAGTTAGCATCTGGGCTGCAAGATAGTTGACGATGGGCGAGATAGTCGAACAATCTTCAAAACAAGCCCTTGAAAGCGTGGTGGTTCATGGTTGAAGCGATCAGTTAGTACGAATGGCAGGTACATTGATTTGTGTATTTAAATTATGTATTAGATATGCTGGTTTGTAAGGCAAATGATGGCAGAGTCATGCACGGATGCAGTACACATAGCAATCAATATTGTGATGTACCGGTTTATCTCGATCTCCGCTTAGATTCAAGCCTCTCTCCGAGATTTATGAATATGGGTGAATCGTCACTTACTACCAATACAACAGCTGCATGATTGGCAAGGCAATTTATCGTGGACGAGCTATAACATCGAGCCGAAAAGGCAAAATTGGGTGCTCAATCAATCTGCCCATCATAACTTATACATCAAGACAGGCATGTCGTTGTGTTTGTATTCAATAATGATTCGCATCACGAGACCGCATAGTATCGAATTTTGGCGCTACTACATGGACGGGTATATATCCCTGTCGAGGATTGATACTGGTCGAATGGCCAGGGTAGGCTATGATAGCATAGTTTGACGTCTACAATTAAGGTTTCATTGCGTGGACATCGGGTAGTATAGATTGACACCAAAGTGCATCATTTTTTACAGAGAAGCTGGACAGAATCGATCCGGGCTACTCAGAACACATCTTATCTAACTATAGAAGGCTAGGACCTGTCTATCGACAGTCAGTAGACAAGTGGCTGTTAGACACGATGTCTTAAGACCTGCATAAAGCGTACCCTTCTCTATGTCTCCAATTTCCAATTTTGAAAATATATACATGTCTGGATATTCATAATTCCCGATTGCTCAAACACGTTAATAGAAATCTAGTATCCGTTCGCCACCAAATATTTCATTGCGTTCATAGTACACTATGGATAATGTAGTGCAGGCACTTTATAATACCACTCGAACTCGAATCTTTAATTATCGTCAAGACACTCAACGATAAAGATGCATCTTGAAGCCAAAGATGGCGATATCCTACAAAGTAAAGTGCTTGTGAAGCACAAGGAGCGTTTTTGGTACAACGTCGAATGATCAACTTCATCTTCTCTGATAGAATTGGAGTTTAGGCGAGGCTTTTGAGTCCGGCTTATCTCGACATCTGCTTGATACTACAAAACGTATCTATTCCTCATCAGTGTCTGAAAGATCACTGACATCGAATGTATGCGTTTGTTGTTGAGATGCTGAAGTTCCGCCTAGGATGTCCCTGAACTCTGCCTCCGCCGTATCAACTGAGGGCAATCGTTCAACGATTGCGCTATTTAATTTCGCAGTTGTATAAGCAATGTAATCTTGCGATTTCGTCACGGTACTGTCCTTTGGGGGAGAATTCACTTCTGGCTTCTTATGTGAGGATGACATCCGAGCTTCTTCTCCATGACCCATACGCTGTGGGACTGGTGCACGAGCCCTGTGCCGATGGCTAACCTCTTCCATGTCGCTTGCATTTTCATTTGTCCCGCGGGGACACGGTGAGCGCCTATGAAAAGTGTTGCGCATACTATCGACTGTTAAATTATCTGGACGTGGCACGCGAGCGGAGTGACCCATCTCTGCAGGTGTATATTGAGCAATTATTTGCTTATCGCGACCATATCCCCCATTCAAAACAGCATCTTCGTCGTCGTCGTCGTTATCTGTTTCTGACAGTTGATCTTGCTCAAAATTGGTTTGTCTATCCCGATCACGATGTCGATACTGATGCCGTGCGTGAGAGCTCGTTATTGACCTATAGCTAGCACTTGACGAAGACACAGACGGGTCACTATCCATGCCGTGTGTGCGCACAACGCTGCTCGGACTGAGTATAGCTATCGCGTTGGCGCCGCCGACTCTGCTAATGGGAGAATAGCTGTCGACACGCGCTCGTTTGTGGTTCACAGCGGCTTTTTCGCGGCCACCGGAAGCGTTGACTTCGTCATCAGATTCAGATAAACCATCCTCTTCAAACTTGCCAGTGTGAAGGTCAGCTCGTGGTGAAGTCTCCAATCGATGTTTCCTTGACCCAGGGCAATTATTATCCACAAACCCCTTGGCAGCAGATGATCGTACAGCCCCTGCAGTACCAGCAATCGGACTCGTGAGGCGTTCACTGTGCAGCGACGTCGTCGTCGCGGTGTACTTCCTCTTATCGAGTACATTGTTTCTGTGAGTTACTCTCAGCTTGCGATCGGGATCCGGCGTTCGTGTAGCTTTGTGACTTGGAGACAAATACTCTTCGTCGGTTTCAGGTAGCGAGTCTTCCTCAAAGTCGTCGTTCGTCGAATTAGCTTTTGGATACGAAGAGGAGATTTTGTCTACATCGACAGCCGAAGGCACTCGTACTATATTATCCACTCTAGTAACTCTACCCGACATTTTTGATGGTGCTTGTTCTGTAGTGGATGAGTGAAACTGAGTTTTCTGTCGGCGTGCAGGCGTGGAGCATTGTTGCCGTCTACCAAGCAGTCGCATGCTCTTAGGGGACAAGGTTATCTTCGAGTTCGGTTTTACGGTCATATGCTTCTGTTGTGTAATGATTGTTGCCTTTTTCTTAGCTGGTGTTGCCCTTCTAACCTTGTGTGTAGATGCAGTATATTCCTTAGAGCTAGTTGTGATTTCTGCATTCAAACTTGTATCCTCCTCTGACTCGGAAAGATGGTCCTCATCAAAACCATCAATCGCCTGCTCTGTGGGTAGTGGTGAACCAATCAGGTCTTCAGTAATACTGATAAAATCAGACCGGAACCGAGTTTCAGAACCCATTGAATTGGCTGATGGAGCAAAATCCTCATCATCTGTATCTAGAATCTCATCTTCCGAAAATATATCGCGATCCAGCTGGGTTGAGATATTGACATCGCCCGCACGCCGACTTCCTCTAGGTGTGGCTTTGTGTTGACCACTTCTTCCTTTGGAACTCTGCTTCTGCCCATTCCTTCGTATTCCACTACCCTTGCTTGTAGGTGTTCTTGACACTGAGCTGTCTAGGATACTGTCGTCCTCGCTGTCAGAGAGTTCGTCTTCGGAAGGGGCAGTAGGTTGCCCGATCAGCGCACCACTACTTCCCACTGCTGAATTCAACGCAAGGTCTTCAGCTTGGCGCCCATTATCTTTATCCAGATGAGCGTCTACATGAGATCTTTGCCTGTTGCTTTTCGATGAGTTTGGTAGTCTTTCTTTGTTACAATATGGGGAACGCCGTGAGAGGTTTCGCGGTGCCAACGTGTGCCCATCATCAATGGCTGTGCTATCGAGAGCATCATCGGAGTCGATAATCCATGCAGATGACACAGGTGCGTTTTTCTTCCGCCTTTTTCTGACCTTGACTACTTTGCAAGGTTGTCGCCGCTGTTGCGGAGGACTCTCGGTACTCTCCGCAGGTTGCGGTATTCCCGGTGCAGCTACTTTGGATTTACTCGATGCGCTCTGTGAATCCATACAACTGGCTCGGGAGGCTGAACTTTTTATTTTGGCTTGGTTTTCAGTGTGGTTTTGCACTTGTTTGGATGAAGAATCTATGGCGAGAGTTGAACCTTCAAGTGTGGCTGCAACTGGAGCACGAATTGAAGCTGGCAGTACTAGAGCTTTACGCTTCTGTTTCCATTTGGCCACTGGGTCATCTCCGTACCTCTCTGGTGTGGAATTCTTGAACCTGCGTTGGCGAAACAAAGATTCGGGATTTCAGAACGAACACTATACAAACCAGGGATAGCGTAAAACTCTACCGCCCAATAATAAAATGTAATGCGTCAGCTTGTGAAGAATTATACCTGGTAAATAACTGATGAGCGGTGTATGATGGCAGACATCGGGACTGAACCACGTTCCAGATAGGCGAACTGAGGCAGAGTTGAAATCCAATCGCTGATAGGTACTGTAAAGCTACAACCATAAGGCTATACAAGGGAACGAAGGTGGTTAATTAGTCTCAAATTACTCGTGAAATGCATTGTTGCCCCCTCGGCATCTAATTGAATATGAACTTAAATACCAGTACTGAGGATAGCAAAATACATGCAACATCCACATACCTCGCGTCGGGAGCTGTTAATTTGAACCGTTGTGTAGGTTTCGCACCATGCGCTTTACCATAAGCCAGCGTTGGGATTGCGCGCCAATTGATCCACTTGTACCTAGTATTAGATGCAGACAGCATATACTATTTATTAAATACAGAGAAAGTCCAGTAAATGGTATATAATGTGTGGGAGAATATGGATGCCAAGTATAGTTTTTGGTATTCAAAACCAGATACACGCGTAAAATTATTCATGAAGACGACACCGTACCAAGTTCAAATGGATATTCTGCTAAAGTTGGGAGAGCGTGAAAAAAAAATCGCAGTGTGGCGACCAGCAAGAGACTCGGTAATATGCGACAGAACTTACCCTTGCAGCGCGCACCTAATCGCACCTTCAACTGCCAAGTCTTTCAAGCCATCGTGACGCACAACTACAGAGGGTTTAGACTTGTCGCCTTTTGGGAGGATGGTTAAAGGCTGATGCGTTCTCGAAGCATTCACTGTCCGTGCAGATATGTTCTTCGGTGTCACGGGGCATGCCTTGCGAGCTGCAATCGTGGAGTTGACTGTTTTCTCTGTATTTAGTTCAGCATCTGGAGGCATGCACAATGGCTTGATCACACGCGCTGCTATATCTACACCATTTTGGTCACTAGACGAACTACTATAAGCTTTCTGAAGGTCCTTCATCACGTTCGCATCGAAAAGTGGTTCCAATGGGATTGGAGTTGACTTCAGGTGGCGACTTTTACACTTGCGCGCTTCGTCACAAACTTTGTCAACAAGCTGCTGCGTCTCGTTGACAATCGACTGACCATTGTATGGGTCAACTCCGGCATTGCCATATACTTTGAATTGAACAAGGACCTATAAAAAGGCAGCACACGAGATGAGATGAGAAATATCAGATACCGCAGCACTAACGTAATGAAAGTAGTTTCCAAAGGAAGTTGAATGTATACAGAATTGCAAGAAAAAATATAAAAGACTGGTTCTGGTGTGCATGTTGAGCACTCCCCGTGTGAATTTGTACATTTGCAATCACTCTAACATATCATTCCAAAGTAAATGCTACTATGACTACTACTGCGTGTAGCGCTTTTATAACCATAAAGTATGCAGCAAAACGTACACACCTGGGCCAATCTCCATATCTGGTCAGCAAGACGTGCTCGTTGAGATGGTGTGATTCTAGAAGGAGAAGATTCAACCACTGGAGGCGCAGGTATAGTCCCTTTGTCATGATTCGCAACTAGATTCAAGTTGGTGGAATATGAAACAAGGGCCGCCGGTGGCAGCGGGAGTGGGGGCAGAGAATCAGGCAGACTCAAAGCGAGACCACCCGAAGGCGCAGCAGCGGCACTAGACACTCTCCGTGTGCTGACAGTCTGCTCGATACTCCCCTTGGACTGTATTGGATCTATCGATTGAAGAGATGGGAGCCCTAGACCAGTACCTGGTAGGAGTAACGCACTTTCGTCCGTGGCCGGGTTTAAATCTTGCGTGCCTGCACCTTGGGTGTCGTACTGTCTCTGTGATTTCTGCAACAGCTGTACCTCTCTTCTGCTAATTTTAACTGCACGGTCTGCGCGATATTCTTCAGTTTCTTTCTCATTGTCGTCAATTTCTAGCGCTCCCGCCAAGAAGTCGTAGTCAGGATCTTGTTCTTCATCGTCGGGGAAGTACTTCGAAAATACGGCGTCCGCGTGGAGAGCGGCAATGAACTAAATAGAGTATATAGTTTGTTTGCAATCGAGTTGCTAACTGTATAAATAGTGGGTAGTGAAACATCATTTGTATTCACCAAGCGTTCATAGAAGCATTCCCATAAGAATTTGTACACGTGGTGCGGCTTATTACCCAAAGATGTCTGACCAGCAGATACCCGTGCGTGACCAGCTTTTAATAACTTCTTACTTCAAACTTAAGGAGTGACACATAGAAATTTTTATAGAAAGGGGACACTAGCTTTCTCTGATACCTGGAACTCGTGTCATTAAATCAGAGCAAGTTGCGAAGACTGGCGTATCGGTTAAACTTGGTACATACCTTACTTAGGTCGTCATCGTCGCCATCCAAAAATTTATTGGGTTGTAAGAGGTCAAGCATATCCCCATTCGACCCGGAACCCAATCCGACACCCATTGGTACTTGACTATTAGTACCGAGAGCATTACTGCCATCGGGCTGGGTATCTACATGATCAACCCCTCCTGAATCCTCGAAAGGCATCAATACTTGCAACTCAGGCTTATCCATTACCGGAAATTCGTTCAGCGCAACAGTAGTTTGTGAAGCACTCGGTTCGTGATCTACGATGTCTAACAGCTCTTACACCACAATCCATCTCCCCAATCAACATATTGAGCAGCGATATGTATGAGCCCTACTGTGCGCTCGCAATACATCAACACAAATCTGGTCGTACATATTCACGTATTCACATGTATTTAGCTTTTTTATAGCTAACCCCAAGAAACCTAAGAATATATTTTGAAAAATAGAACCCCACACCAATATAACCCAATGTTATTTATTTAGTCGGCCCTCTGGATTTTAGGGTCGCGAGCAGAAATCGTATATAGGGATAATATTATTTATTCCGCGTAAATCGTAAATTTCCTAATCCAGAGGGCCATGTATTTATTTGTATTTTTGTAATTCACAACACAGTAGATTCATAAACACAGTTTATTATCTCCGAGCTCTTCCAGCATGAATGCTCAGATCTTCCTACTGTGTGACGTTTATGTATATCTTTGTTGGTCTACCATAATTCTACGTCTTCCTGTGATGAGCTGCACCCTCTTCTTTCCACACATGCTGTAACTGTATCCACGTCACTTTCTTTCTATGAAGTCTTCCTCCCCCTAGTGATCCACCAATCCTCTACACAGCACAGTGAGTTACCTTAGCTTTCTCATACTCCACCTGTCACATCAGCTCATCAGGTAGACAATATCAGCTCACAAATCATCTTGACAGCTATCGCTGAACCCCTTCTTAGTGGTAGACCTCGACAGTTCGGTACCAACACCCAGTACCGAACTGGACCCTTGTGGATATTACATCCCTCCGGGAACGGGCAGGCCTGGCTGTAGCGTTCCTCATGACACAAGGGAAGGAATACTGGGAAGCGAATCGTTTCGCTGTGGGTCGCATTTGAATATAGAACACCACTGCTCGCTGGCGATTATATGCTAAAGTGGGTGATACGGAAGATATGTTAGAATGTAAGCGTCGTGTGCAACGTTTCATCATCTGTTAAGCCCGCCATTCCTCTTACATCTTGCGTCGAAAACCGTCGCCTATCGCAAAACGATAACCTTTGTTTATCGCACTCTTCCACCTGGCAACGAGTCGCTCCCCAATATGGCGAGCGACCACTACTTCATCATCGGGCCGAACCCAATTCGTGCGCTGACGTTTGTGTTTATGAGGCAGCACAATCTACCGAGCCCAATATGTTTCACACTTCGTTCTCAAGCCGCTGCCTTCAGGCACATAGTGAGGGCATCTATGGCCTCATTGCGGTCTTCTATCGAGGCCTCCTTGAACTGCAATTCGTACAACAACCAGTTAGTGTAATCAGTACTATTGAGACACCGATGGGCCTTGCCTCGCTCGGGTTCCCCAAGTAGAACTCGATATGCCCAAACACCGCTTATGTGTACACGGTACAACTGCCCAGTAGCCCGCATGCGCACAATGTGATATATCTGAGTCTAACGCCAGCACATCCACGGGCCTGACACACACCTGCTGGGATATATGCGGTATCTGTGCAAGGCGAAACACAACCACCCTGCCAATGTTGAATATGGGAATATTCACCCGCTAACGGTTTTCTTGTTGAGTCTGCTGCGCCTGGGCTTTATCATCCATAGCCCACGCCTTATTATCTAAGCCGGTGGGCTCAGTGTGCTCGAATAGGTCTGGAGTCGCTAGCTTGCCGAGATCCTCGCGCAGAATATCTACTAATTCTATATCCACGTGGTGAGAAAACACCCTGCTATTTGTTGCCAGTGTATAGGGCACCATTCCTGTTACAGAGGACATGGTAGAACTTTGCTACTGGCGCATCCGGCCACGTACTCTCCTGTCCCAACAAACGACTACATGTGCGGCACAAGATATCTGCCATGCCACTAGACTGGTGCCGACCCTTCTGGACAGGATGAACCGCAATATGCCTAACGGCACACCAACTCCGAAACGCCTGATGCAACGAAGGGCTGTCCTACTCGACAATGAGCTGTCGTGGCCAACCCCACGGTGTAATTTTTTGCTCTACAAAGCGCCTAGCCTCGTCAAACGTGTGTTCGGGACGACGCATAGGTCTTGCCGCCGCCAACCGCGCCAACCAATATATCGCCCAAAAAAAACAATATATATATAAATAACTGTACCCTTCGGGATTCTGAGCATGATAATAATAATAAATGTGCCACGCAAACGCGGAGGTTGACACAGCAGGCCACGTATAAGACCAGTCGTGGCCCTGTACTCTTCTAGCAATGCAAACCGTACACGAGTCCTCCAGAAGATCGATGGGAATGCTGAAACCAGGCTTGTCTTAAACCAACCCCCTGAGGCGCACCGAATGTGCGCATATATGCGAAAAATGTAAGCGCCAATTCACTTTTAAGAGGACATGGGGTGTAACGCGAACTCATTTGAAAACCGTGGGTAACGCGGACAACATGTTCTACACATCAGTTAACGACCTAGGGGCTCCCCGTTTCTTAGTAGTGAAACCGCTATTCTCTCAAATCGGACGGTAACCTGAAGCTCGTCATCCACAATGGCTGAACCTGAATAAGGTCGTATCTTTGTCCCTTCCAAGCGACGGAGCTCTGCATCCGTATTTGCTTCTTCTTCAGCCAACGCGCGCTCTCCCACCCAGGCTTGTTAAAGGCGTGTGCGAGACAGCTGGTCCTACGACCACTCCTGTGGATTGCTAACCCGTCCTACTTTCTGCTCCGGCGCAAACTCGTCACCAGCGGTAAGCTGGCCCTGCTGCTGCATTTGCACTGGCCGCTGGCAAGCTTGCCAACTGACCTCCCGCTCATTCATCGCTGTATTAAATGCAACATGTTCTTCCTTCTTCCTGGAACATTTCATTGGTCGAGAGTGGTCGCGCGCCTACCTCCTCGGAAGCATCATCGGCAACGTAACTGACCGTGATGGACAACATCAGCCCCCTCGGCTGAAATTATCAGGGTGGGTCCGTCTGGTGACCCGGCTGGGTCATGACAAGATGCGCGAGGCGGGGCTGCTCCCAAGCTGGACAAAGTCTCTGAACCCGGAGCTTCCACAGGGTCGTGCAAAGGGGACACCGTGTCCTCAGTTTCAACCGTTACTGATGGAGGGGAAAACAACCCACTGCCGGAAGAATCTAAAGACACAAACTGATGAATGTCACTTACGTGTACCGGCTCCGGAGCCAACGGATTGTTCACCACCGGGGTCGTCGACCTCACTGTCCTAGCCTCTTCACACGGTGCATCATTCTCAACCTCCCGTAAGACCATACGTTCTGCAAAACTGGGTCGGAGCGCCCCCTAGCGAGCTTCGCATAAAAGCGTCCCCTCCCCACGTGCAGGCTCCTGGCTCGTCGGGCGCATAGTATGGCAGCTACATATTCCGGCGGTTTGCGAAAAGGTCAATGACAACACCTGGACATTTCTCTATGCACGCTTAAACCACGCCGGGTTTAGTCGCTGGGTGTGCCTCTCTTGAGCAACCGGTACGCATCCAGCCACCGGCAAGGACAGCTCTTCGTCGTCGTTACTGAAGTCATATCCGGTCGGCAAAGGCAATACATCCTCCGGCTCCAACACCTCCAATGGCCAGCTAAAAGAATCCCGGCGTTCCACAGGCCACTGGGCTCGATCCACTCCCGGACATGCATTCGCAAGGGAAAATCACCTAGAACAATAAAGAGACCTGGGATGTACGATATTTCGGCGTCCACACTGCTCTTAATCTCCAAAGCACGCCACGCCCGACACTTTATTTATATTAAACGAGTTTCGAGACAAAGGCTTGCCCCTCGGCAAGGTTTTCAGGGGCTTGTGGTCACTGTGGATTTGTAACGACATCCACGAGCACATGGCCATGAACGCAAGCTTGTAAATGATAAACTTCGTTGCCGTGAGCTCTAAGTGTAAGGCATGATAGTTGCTCATGGATGGCGAAAGCTGGGATGAATAGAACACAACACAAAGCTAATAATTCATATCATACAACGCCATGTAAAGTATGGAGAGTAGCTGAAAGGTACGAGTCAAAGGATACAATAGACCTCTTTTTAAGCACGGTTGTCTCAGCTATGAAAGGCCCCTAGTCTGAGAGAACCGAACTGAGTCTTCATTTGTGTTTTCACTAGACTCAGGATTTACTTAAGTGTTTCTCTCACACGCGGAGTCCCGATATAGCTTATATTCCGATCCTAATTCCAAAACTCAATATTTGATTATTCTGGCTCTTGTGATTTGAATTTGGCCTTTTGATAGTCTGGTCCCTAGATGCTACAACCACACCCTTGCGCTTGTCACAGACTGCTGGAGCCCTGGCCAACTTCTCGTTGAGCAGCTGAATAGACAGCTTTTTACCTTTTGTTGTCCTTGTCGACCGTGTCTTCCACCAAGGTAAAAGTTCCGTGAGTGGCACTTCTTGTCGCTCCAAGTACTGGACTAGATCATTCTGTGCATCACCCCATTCATGCAATGCTGCCCGCAAAGGATCTGTCGGCGCCTTCCTAGCCAGACGTTGTCGGTGTATTTCTGCCCTCCAACCAGCAATCCTTCTCCATTCGTAATACCTCCTTAGGGGCTCGACGAACCATGACTGTCCCTGCAATCGCCACATCGCAAGCGTCCAAGTAGGCATGCAGCTCTTCGTGCTGCTCCGGAGAGTAGAGACATATCCCATTCGTCAGCAGCCACATGCACCGGTCAAATGCACTTTGACACTTTAGGTTCATGTCAAAGCGAACCCCCTTCCGTGTCTGATTGGTTTAGGAGCCAACGAGGCACTTAGCCTTGCAATACTGCAAGACCACCACGCCATCATGTACACAAATGTAAGCAGCTGTATGTAGGCTTTATGCCTCATCGCTTCTGATTTAGTAGTTTCTACTCCGTTCTCATCGGTTTCAATACACACTTGATGCCGAAAATATAAATCATACACCAAATACATCTCACCCCCCTCTGTCAGTAGGGTTCATGTGTAGTTGCTCGAGATGACAATGGTCATTATTTTCTGTTCCTTTCTAATACATGCGCGGTGACCTGCGAATATTTCTAACTCGTCAGGACATACTTCTAATACCTCCTCAACGTTTGGTCATTGCTCTAGTGTTTCCTTGACACTTGCCTGCACCCTATTCGCGATTTCTCTCACAAATCAATACGTAACATACGCTGTTAAATACACTCATCTTGCCCAACGACCGCCGTTTGATCAGGCTTTGTCAGTGCATGTACCAATCAATGTGAGTTCACTTATTATCACAGATAACATTGTGACCCAATTGTTGTTCCAAAAACGTCTGTACGAGATCAACAAAGGTCGATAAACGTATGTGTTCTGTCGAATCATCGGAGAGATCTTCGATTATGTTTTGAAATGCATCTGCTACATTGTGCAGCAGTCATCACGTCATATAGTCGACTTTGTTGATTAGCTTCTCGACAGTATTGGCTATAGCTAAATAAATAAATAAATTTAACCCAGTTTTTCTCATACGGTCAGTAATCGAACACAATATATGGTAGTAGCTGTGCACCAGCGGTACGGAGTTTCTCCACGATCAAGCAAATAGAGTGATTCTCAATGATTTGGTTCCCCACTATATCAGACATAGGTAACTATTTGACCATATAAACTCAACAGCCCCTTTAAAGTCAGTTTCTCAGAACCCCGATTTAAAGAACATATTGACAATCAGACTCTCACCCTCTGCCACATTTTTGTATTCCGCGTAACCTACAACTTTTGAATGTCCGGACAAAGAAAAGTCGTCGTTAGCTATCATCTTTTTCAGTTCACTTTTAGATAAACTCTTCAGCAATATGGAACTTAACTGGTTGTATGATGGTTCAGTGTCATCCTTAAATTTACTCTCGCTATAGTTTTCGGACGGATTAGGTACCGTTGCACTTTGTAAACTATCAGCTACATTCGACACAAAAGCGTAAGAATTTGAAAGGTAAATGATTACCGCTATGTATTCGAATACCTTTGTTATTTTCTATTTCAAACAGCTTCACTTATACACTTGTGATTATAATGGATATTTATCGAACAAAGTCGCTAATTGTACATTCAAAATGTGGAAAAGTCACTAAATGTACTTTCACCCATTTTGTCGATGAAAACGTACTGAAATATTAATCAAATATGTATAAATGTACATTTAGCGACAATCCCAAATTTTTTATGTCCATTTAGTGACTTTATCGTGCAAAATTTGTTTAAATTTAAATTAAAGAGCCTCCCAATGTGTAAATAAATATATAAAAAGCTACTTGAATTCTTTCCTTTCTAGAACCTCAAACCCCAATTTAAAAAAAAACATTGGAATCAAAGTACTCTCAAAACCAATTTTTTTATTTAAATCCAGTGCGTGAAAGTTAAGAATAATAATCCTTCCAACATTAATAGACAAATTATATATTCTTCTACCGTGTGTTTTACACTATCCCAACTTGCTAATATACAAACCGGAATTAAAAGTGCTGTTAACACGATAAAAATTATTGAAATACCATCTACTCCCAATATTAACTCTAAATTTTCTGAGTTAGTCGCCACCCACTGCCCTCAGAAAGCATTCACTGATAACGCTCAACCATTTGAAATTCACCTATGTTCTTATTCATTTTCAACCATAAGCCTATTGATAATCAAAATGCTATTACTGAAATTAATAAACCTAGCTCTTTCTCCCTTCTCCTCGGTCAGTGAGACCTGGCTCAGACACCAGATCCACCCCCCGTTGGCACTAAAACTAAAGCTATACTTCCTAAAACAGGAAAATTATTAAGGTTAATATGTTCCCCGGGATATATTCTCCCAGGGGTCATAGATGAGTAGTGTCCAAGAAGGTAATTTTTATTCATTTGATATGTTCATACATTGTATCATACATTCTTGCCATTTTTGAAATAAATAATATTATCCCTACGCTGCACCCCCCGAGTGTCACTATGGTAGGCGGTTGGAGGGTACACCCTCCTATGTGTATCGTAGAGGGCAAAGCTTGCTCCTGAAGGGGTAGGGTAGAGTACCCCTCTCTGCGAGGGCATGCCCACTCTTTGAAAGACTAGAGTGGGACTTATAATTAAACCTTCGATAGGACTGAGATTCTCACTCTCATGGACGGCGTGTACTATTTGCTTAGTACAAGATATTCTGGATGGCCAATGGAATACATGTTTAGATATTTATTGGAGGTTATTACTATATTTTATTTAAATAGACCCCTTAGCCCGGTTATTGTGGAATAGTCTGCTTGTGTATTCCCTTATAATGTATCTTATCTTAGAACCACCCTCCTTCGGTGGAGGGTGGGGAAGGGTCACTCCACAATCCTGAAGGCACACTTGTTGTGGTTGAGTCGGAAGTTTACTAAGTTCAACTTTTTGATTACTTCACGAACAATCTTGCGGTGTTCTTCTTCTGTAAGACTTGCAATAACTATGTCATCTACATACACCTGCACTCCTTTGATGTCTATGAGCAAGTTTTCCATGGCTCTCTCCAATTGTCCTGTCAGTCAGTCAGTTCAGGCCAAATCCCGCTCACTTAAAGCTCTATTGCGCTCCTCTCCTATCAGCAAAAGGTGAAGAAGTGTTGGCTTGCTTCTTCTAGTAAAAGATGGTGAAAGTATCCCGTGAGATCTAGCTTTGAGAAGTACTGTGCTCCTTGTAGGTCGTGTAATACTTTCTTTATTTTTGGTAGCACGAATTTATCTTGTTCATGTTGGTAATTGATCTCACGTAAGTCTAAACATGTTCTCACTTAATTGAGGAGACCGCTTAGTCATCTTCACCCGCCGATAAGAATGGTAAGTTCACCGTTATTGTGTAGACTGTATAAGTGGGTTTATTAATCCCCATATATACCTAGAAAAATTGGTGCCTTCTTGACTGGTCCAACACTTCAAAAGACTGAGAGGTTTTCCTCCTTCGATAGTTAATGTCACATACTTGGGTTGACTCTGTTCTTGTATTATAGCATCTGTTTGTGTTAGTTGTATGTTTGCCGGCTGTGCTCTGACTGATAGATAGATATAGTTCAGTTACTATACTTTTGTCCATATATGAGCGTTGTGCACCGGAGTCTATTAGGGCGTTGTACATATTGTCATTGAGCTATACGTAAATGTGTAACCTTTGGTCTCGTGGTACGGGAAGCAAGGATCATCCTGAAGGGACACCTGATCCTGAAGAGACACCTGATCCTGAAGGGACACCTGATCCCCGCGGAGCGAGTATCGAAGATGCCTTTAGGAGGGTCCCTCCACCATCCGAAAGGAGGGCTGTATCTAGAGCCATCCTTCCTGATGGAGCCCTCTATCATATCCCCCCCCCCTGTTTAATAATGACAAGGGGCAAGGGGTCATCCCTAATGGATGATGGTGGGAGGGGGGGGGAGGCCCCC